ACACACACACACACACACACACACAACCTAGGCTAGTCATGAGCTGCTGAAGAATCATCTGAAAACTCGTAATTAATTTTTCTTTTCAACAATTGCTTGTGAACAAAACCCACCCACTGCCTCAATCACAATCAATGAGGATGTGGTTACGAAAGTGTTGATGTCGTAAAAAAACCCACCCACAGCCGCACACACAATTTGAATGAGATGGTGGTTGCGAAAGTGATGATGTCGTTGCAGACAGTTTGAACAGGAGGTGTACCGGGCGGTGGTGGAAGGAGGCTGGGACGGGACGGATGACAGTACAGACCTGGTCACAAAGTGGACATTTCCTGGTGCCCTGTTGTTTTCTGTGACTGTCATCACTACTATAGGTCGGTGGATAGTGCGTTTGTTGTTGTTGTTGTTGTTGTTGTTGTTGTTGTTGTTGTTGTTGTTGTTGTTGTTGTTGTTGTTGGTGGTGGTGGTGGTGGTGGTGGTTGTGTTGCTGGTATTGCTATTGTTCTTGTTGTTGCCGATGTTGTTGCTGTTGTTGTTATTGTTATGTTGTTGTTGTTGATGATGGTGGAGTTGCTGGTGTTACTGATGTTGTTGTCGTTGTTGTTGTTGTTGGTATTGTAGGTGGAGGTGATGGTGGGGGTGGTGGTGTTACTGTTGTTGTTTTGTTGTTATAGTTGTGTATGATGCTGTTGTTATGATGGTTATTGCTTTAATTGTTGTAATTCATTCAGCTCAATCCCCCCTACCCCCTCATACCTCACACAGGCCTTTAAATCTCCCTTTCACCCCCCCCCCTCTTTTCATTCATACATCAGCATATGCCTTTCAAATCTCACAACCACACCCCTTGCTACCCCTCCCCCAGGGCAGTGCTACTGACTGAAGTGTCTTTAGGCCATTCACAAAGAGGGGATATTATCATGTTCTTATGCACAGTAGAATTGTAAACGGGCTGATTTATCAACGTCAGGCTCATACTGTGCCGGAACAACATCGGGGTAACTGCTGCTTTTCTTTCCTTATCCTTACTATCGTCATTTTTCATCTACTTCTTCTGTATGTTTGTCACTCTCTTGTCAACTGCTATTTCCGGGGTGCCTTGATGGTCGAAACAGAATTAATTTGTGCTGTTGAGGCTAGAGAGGTGAGCAAAGTAATAAGCCTGATTCCTCGTTTGGGCTTCCCTATTGACATCCACCCCTTGGCGCTCATATGACCTTATGCAGTTGCGAGTCGTAAAACCTCTACTCATCATCATCCGGTGCCTTGCTGACTGGCATGGGCGATCATGGACCTCCACTTCACTCTGTCTTGCGTTGCAGCAAAGGTGTCTGTTGTTCTTGCTGCTCCCAACCATGTTGTCAACTCGTCCAGTATCTTTTCCCTCTGTCTGCCTCTGCCTCTCTTTCCATCAAACTTGCCTGTTGTTACAATATTCTCCAATGTTTTTTTCTGCATTGTGTGTCCAATGAAATGTGCCTGTCGCTTTTGTATATTCGTCATAAGCTAAAACCTCTACTAACACTAACTAACTGCCCTACACTGGACACCCGAAGGAAATCGCAAGAGGGGCAAACCCAACCCAAAGTGGCCTGGAGATGCACAGTAGAGACCGACATGAAGTCCTGGAATCATTCATGGGGGACGTTTACCAAGATGGCCCAAAACAGACAGAGCTGGAGATCCTTTGTTGCTGCCCTAAACACCCCTTGGCGCTCATATGACTTTGTGCAGTTGCGAGCGCAGTAAAACCTCTACTAACACTAACTAAAACAGCCACCCTCCTTTTTCTCTCTGCCCAGGTTACGGAGATATAGTCCCAAAGACCCGCGTGGGACAGGCAGTGTGTGTCGTCTATGCCATGATCGGTATCCCCCTCACTCTCCTCTGTCTGGCCAACATAGGAGGCTTCCTGGCAAACCTCTATAAGCTCATCTGGCAAGCCAGCTCACGCCTGTGGAAACTTGTCGTCTGCATGCCCAAAAGTGAGTTGGTCAGTCATGGCGGGTGGTTGGCGGGTGTTCTGCTGGTGTGGTCGGTTTGCTCCTTCTTTTCCATCAAGCATAATAACGCTCTTATCTCTCCTTTTTTCTGTTTGTTTCTCTCTTGTAAAACCTTTAATCTTCGACACTAATATGTGAATCGTGCTGATTAAATGAGCTACTTCTCATATTTAAGCCTTAAGAAAAAAGATACTACATCACGTTTATAGGTGAAGGTTTTACAATTTATACGCATGAAATGATAAAAGACTGGTCATAATGTATGTAGTTAAAGAACCTGGCATCAAGTCAATAGGAAATCTACATATTTGACCCTGAAGTCGAATTTTGGCCAATATCTCCTTTTGAGGGTTGCAAGAAGTAACCCATTTTGTCAGCACGCCTCACATATGGCCTAATTTTGTTGCAAGTGCCGTAAAGCTCCAACGAAAACAAACCATAATGAGTTGCGTCAGTCAACGCTTTACGCGTCATGCCGGGTTCTCTTCGGCAGCATCGAGTTGGATCGGATCAGATCGTTTAATGGCGGTTTCAGTGCAGACTTCATTATGACTTCTGCCTTGCTTCATCAGATTTGACCCTCACTTTTCTCTACCCCCCCCCTACCCCTTTTTCTCT